TCCAACCGCTGTGGAGGTAGCAGCCAGTCTAGCCAACTCGGTGAGCTCCAGGTTCAGTGAGCAATTCTATCCCAACAAAGGTGAAGAGTGATTGAGGAAGAGACCAACATCAATCTCATATCTCCACACATGAACACGAACACACACATACACACTTTTGGGTTGGGACTCTTTTGCCCTCTTTTATAGCCTGAGAAACCATTCCCTGCAATTTTTATCCCTCCTTTTTTTTTTTGTTGTTTTTTTTTGTTTTTTGTTTTTCGAGACAAGGTTTCTCTGTGTAGCCCTGACTGTCCTGGAACTCACTCTGTAGACCAGGCTGGCCTCGAACTCTTGAACTCAGAAATCCGCCTGCCTCTGCCTCCCAAGTGCTGGGATTAAAGGCGTGCACCACTACTGCCTGGCTCCAATTTTTAAAACTTAATATACAACAGTTATTTTATTCATCAAAATGGGAAAAGACAAAGAATTAAAGAGATCAATTTTGAAAAGAAGTAATTTTTACAGATTAAGTTTTTGTTAAATACAGAACAAGAGAAATTGGATAAAATGTTTGAGACCATGAACATTTCCAATTATATTCTATTAACTGCTGTCCTTTAGGATGCCTGTCCTTAACAGAACTTTCAACTTTGCAAGATACAGACATCTCATGGTCAACTGATATCTAAAGCCAATGTACCTGTTTAGTTTTAAGACGTGCTCTAATTCTAATCTAGTTGTGTCACAGAAGGGTGTGAAAACAAGCACATGCCTTCCTTTGATGCACTCCAGGCTCCTAGACACTAAGATTACCACGCCTACCTACAAAGAGCTGCAGGACAACTACACAGTAAAGAAAAAATGAGATCAGTGCACTTTTGTCTGCCAATCATTGTTTTCTTAAGATCTGGAGTAACTCTTCTAATAAAGGAACTAAGGGAGCAAGCTTTATGCTACATAGTTTCCAAATGTATACAGATTTGAGACAGCAAAAATTTGAAAGATATAACAGGCAATTATCTTTATTTCTTTAGTCTATTTTCCATTTTTAAGTATTTATTTTCCTGTCTTCACTCAAATGTTGATACTAATATTTGAAGTAAAATAAATTTCCTTCTTCTGAATCTTCTGAGTGAAATAAATATGGAAATTTCTAACTTTCTAGATTTCTAAATTTCTAGAAATGGCTTCTATTCTCAGAAAGTAGTATTATTCTTATTTTGTTTTATTTTATTTTATTTGGTTTTTTCGAGGCAGGGTTTCTCTGTGTAGTCCTGGCTGTCCTGGACCTCACTCTGTAGACCAGGCTGGCCTCGAACTCAGAAATCCACCTGCCTCTGCCTCCCAAGTGCTGGGATTAAAGGCGTGCGCCACCACCGCCCAGCTATTATTTCTAAGTAATTCTTATTGTTTCTATTTAAATCTAAATTCCTAGTTTGGAAATTACAAAGACCATTACTTGCAGATATAATTTTGGTTCTACTGAAGAGGCTGACTAAATAACAGATTATGATCAAAATATTAATTTATGAAAAAAATAAAGTATTAGATATGTGAAAAATATAGAAGTTCAATATGCAAGACCATTCACCATACTGATGTCATCCATGTCCTGAGATAGATAATATAATAGTTTTATTATTACTATTATTATTATTATAAAATATATTAACTATTGATGTATTAATAATATAAAAATCTAGAAGTTCAGTATGGGAGACTTCTGGGGACAGTATACCATGACAGGGACTGCATACAGTAGGCCAGGATAGAGACATCTCAGTAGCCCATTCTCCTAACCTTAGCCCTGGACAATGGTTGTATAGATTTCATTTTTGCATGACTGCTTTTCAGTTGGCCTTAGTGTGCATAACTATTCTATTTTATCTGACTTTCCTACTTCTTTCTCCTTCTGCTCCTGTGAATTCTGTGATGTTCCTTGATGTAATGAGTCTTAAACAATTAAAAATTGAGGCATAAGGGCACAGCACAGCACAGTCCTAATGGCCCAGGTGCATGCTGTGTGTTCTCATCTTCCAAACAATGTAATAACTGCCCAATAGTAGTTCCAGATTAATGCTGAACTTGCAAAGAAAGTTTGAAGAAATTATTAGAAGATGAAATAAAGCCAACATTGGGAAAGAAAGGAAAAAACTACTGAAGTTATGAGAAGTTTTACACAACATTTAAGAGTAGTTTCAGGATAAGAAAGTATAGAATGCATAAAATTATATATTACTAAAAGTCAAAACACTGGGACTCTTAGGAGAGTCAAGTGCAATATGCAGAAGCAGAAAGCTAGGGGAACTACTGAGTGAAGGGTTAACTTGATTCTTTCCGGCCACTGCCTGGCAGCTTTGCCCATGTCATTTATCATTAGAGCTTCACAGGAAAATGCAAGCAGCTGACCTCGGAGCTCTGAGCTCTGAAATATAAGTCGAAAGTTAAAGTTTAAATAATGGTAAGTTTGCAATTATTATTATTTTGGCTACAGACCTGAGAATAGAAGAAGCTTGAAACTTTGGGAAACAATTGTAACTCTTGATTCTTTGTGGGATGTGGTTCTTCTTTTGAATTTGATTTGGCAATGATTATACAATGTCTTTTTTTTTCTACCTGCTTTGGCGGTAACAATAAAAGAGTGGGGCAAGAGAAAGGCTAGGGAGCAAGTAGAGAGCATGTGGAAAGTAAGTAGAGAGAATGTGAAGAGTGAGAAGAGACTGTGAGGTGTGTATGGAGAGTGTGTCTGGCCGGGCGTTGGTGGCGCACGCCTTTAATCCCAGCACTTGGGAGGCAGAGGCAGGCGGATTTCTGAGTTCGAGGCCAGCCTGGTCTACAGAGTGAGTTCCAGGACAGCCAGGGCTATACAGAGAAACCTTGTCTCGAAAAACCAAAAAAAAAAAAAAAAAAAAAAGAAAAAAAAAAAAAAAGAGAGTGTGTCTGAGTGAAAGAAGAGGGCATGTGGTGTGTGTGAGATGTGTGAGAGTGAGAAGGGAACACACACAGGTGTGTAGGAATGTGGGAGTTCCACAAAAGAAAAGCACACAGGAGAAAAACGGTGTGCAGGAAAATGCAGAGTGTGTGCAGCCTCAAAAAGAGAGCAGAGGGAAGAGAGAGTAACTTTAAGCCTTGAAAAATTGCCCATCAGTTTGTACCCAAAAAGTAGTCTGTGTTTATTTATTATGTGCCTTCCAGATATCCCCACTTCCAGTTGAGAACTCTGGTCCTGTGTCAAGGCTGGACTCCCGACACTGGACCATGCACATGCACCATACTGATGACACCCATGTCCTGAGATGGATAATATAACAGTTATCACTATCTACTGATAAATATAAGGCTTGAGTACAAACTTCTTACTAGAGAGATAAGGCTTCTAAGAATTAGAATTATAAAACATAAGTATAGTTTTAATACAGATCACAAATATATGTATTTCAATAACAAGGCTAAAAGTTCTTCAACAGAAAATAAGTGAGTACCATTTTTTTAAATGTATTTATTTGGAAAACTAATTTAAAATATTTGATGTTCCTCAGTTTTGTTTAGAAAGTATAAAAGGAAACCACAGGAGCTGAGGATGTGGGTCAGTGGTAGAGCCCAGCTACCTTTCTCAAGGGCTTTGGTTTGGTTGATACAATCACACACACACACACACACACACACACACACACACATACACAAAAATCCTTAAAGGAATTAGTTGATGTTATCACTTCATTAAGATAAAACAGAACCCCAGGAATAGCTGTATAACAAAACTACTCAACCTGAAAAACAAGCTGTTTATCAGCAATCTCTTTATTTGAAGCAAAAAAATCATTTATGGTTTCCTGGATGTCACTGTACTGAAGAATCTGACCTCAGAACGAGTCTCCTTTTGCCTTCCCGAAAAGCTGTGTGGTCCCTACTCATACCCCCATCAAATACTTGCTAAGAAAAAACCAACAAATGACTTTGCAAGACCTTCATCTGACCGTAAATTTACTTAACAAAGGCTTTGGGGTCTGGTCCAGTGGCAGGGCTCAAAAGGTGCTGCCAAGCCTGACTTGAGTTCTATCCCTAGGACTCACAAGATCAAAGGAAAGAATCAACTCCCACTCCCAAACTGCCCTCTGACCTCCACACATGCACTGCGGTATACACACTCAAAACATACACACACACACACACACACACACACTCTACTATAAACTTCTGAAAAGGTTTTATCTTCCAGCTGCAGGTGTATCTGTTCCCTACTCTGTATGTGGGAGGGAAGAAGGTAAGAGAGGAGGTAAGGGTATTTTCGTTTTTCTTTGGGACAATTTCTCACAGTGATTTCAGTTATGTTCCATAACATTCCTGACTGACCCAAAGGCTGGCATAACCACCTAGTTCCACTACTACCCAGCAGAGGGAGATAGAGCTTAAAATAAAAGGATACAATGAAGACATGGCAATTAGAAAGAATGGGTGGGGGTTGTGGAAACGGGTAGGCGCTGCCCCAGCTGAGATGAAGTAGAGCTGACTACCAGAGCAGCAAGAACAGAACCCAGGTCCCAGAAGAGAAGGGAGCCCCAAGAGACACATCAAATGTAGAATGGTATATTCTGAATCAGCCTGAGCTTCAGTGTAAGAATAAGTCCCTATCCCAGAAAACAAAGCTAAAACAATAATAATTTATTTTTAAGAATGGTAAGTAGAAATGGCAATGTATGTAGGGCCCCCTTGTGTTTTAGTAAGAAACAGCAACAGAAGCAGAAATCAAAATAGCAACCTTTACATAAAAGAGTAGATGCAAGGCTAAGACCAAGGTGAAAAGACAGTCTTCTCTACGTACAGATAGAAAGAAAGGCCATCTTCTGTGCCTAAAGTCTGTTTTTTACTCTTCAATAGGCTTTTCTAGCAGTCCTCTCTTACAGGACAGTAGAGCATGGCATTCCCAAGAAACCTGAAGTGCAAGCATCTCAATTTGCACTGCTGGGGGTCAAAATGGAGATTTCCATAACACAGTTTAAGTAACTTATAAAACTCACCTGTAGGCTTAACTGAATAAAACCCAATGGCCTCTCCTTTCTTCCACAGAATCTTAGCATAGTCAGTACTGCTATGACACAGGAATGGGATCTCATTTCTCTCCATTTCCTGTTTTCTATAAATAATTCGATTGAGAACATACAGAACCACTCTTTCTCCAAGAGTGCTCACCTACAAGAGAGTCAAACAGCAGGCAGAGCAGTTATAATATGCAGCTATTAGGAAACACCATCACCTGTCCCCAGCTCCCACAGCTCCTACTGTCATTCAGAACACTTCAAGTACAGTCAACACAATTTAAAAACATTCTATTATCATAGGTCAAGGCTAATCATTTAAAACAAAACAGCCCATTCCCACAAACACATTTTATGCATAGGCTATGCCCTTGTAGCAAATTCTAAAAAGGGGCAAGCAGGCCCCAAGGCACACACTGCTCCCATCTCTCTCAGTAGTGTCTGTCACTCTAGCTGCCCAGATCCAAGGAGTGTGTGTAGCCCTAACTACTGCCCCCTCTAGATAATCCACTGCAATCCTTTCACCCCATTCCTGCCTCTACATTTAAAATTTATAAAACAAAACAAAAAACAAAAAAAAACACAATACTATTCCCAGACTGAACAATTACCTCAGTTCCCGAAGGCAGCCATAATTACGCCCTTGGGGAAAGCATCTTTCTCTCTGTTTCAGGTGAAATGTTCCTTTAGCAGCCCTGTCTTTGCTCTAAGTATATCCAGCCCTCCCACACATACTCCAATGCCAAAGCAGATGAGCAAGAGTCTAGCTAAACACACTTGGGGCCCAGGATGAAAACAAGCCCAGCTCCTCCTCCTAGAGCCACACCACCACAGGCACTCCACGAATACCCCAGCCTTCTGCTGTTCGTCAGGTTTCCCATAGGCATCTCTAATGCTAGAAACAAGATTCCTGTGTGTAAAGTCTATTTTCTTCCAAGTCCCCTTAAAGGAAAACAACTTTGCTGGGATTAGTTGTACAGAAAAAGAAAACTATTAACAACATGTACACAGTACTCCAAAAATACCCCTGGCAGGGGGCCTCCTGAGCTAAATGATACAAGATGGCAAACAGCTTTACTCTGTTAAATGACAAGGCCACTTCTTTACAAAGCACTAACCAACAAAAGCTCCCTCACACTAAGCTGAAATCTACTTCCCAGTGGCTATTCTTTGATATTATGCCACATAGAGTACCAACATTTGAAGATAGCCATGTTTTTCTCAATTTTATACCAATGCAATATTAACTACTGAAGAAATAGAATAAGGCCAGCTGAGACTAACTTTGGAATCTCCATCCTCTGTTGAGTGCTTCAGACCCTCCATGTCTGTCTGTTCATGCTTTGCATACATTTATTACAAACACTGAAGATAGTGTGGAGCTAATGTGAGTTTGCTTCATAAATTCAAGGCTTCCTTTCACTTCTAATGAACTAAAGCTGACCCTTTCTCACACACACTGCTGTTTCAGTTTGAGATTAGTGGTGTGCATGTACATCTCATCTTTCTGAAACGTACACATATTACCTTCCACCTATTCCCATTTGAATTTATTTGTTCCCATTTATTTTTTTAGAGACAGTGTCATGAAGCCAAGAGCAATCCTGAATTTACCATGCATGTTGCTGAAAATGACCTTGAATTTCTGATCCTCCTGTCTCCACCTCCCAGGTGGTGGGACCATACCTACTTTATATGGTGCTGGGGATCAAAACCAGGACTGCATGCATACATGGCAAGCACTCTACCAATTCAGATATCCGAACGTGGCCCACAGGCTCAGGTATTTGAACACTTGGACCCCAGTTGGTGGCGCTATTTTGAAAGGCTTAAGTGGTGCAGCCTCGCTGGGAAAGTACATCACTGGTGACAAGCTTTAGATAATAAATACAGCCTTGCCCCATTCCCAGTTGCTGTCTCTGCTTAGTGCTTGAAGCTGAGGATGTAACCTCTCAGCTTCCGCCTCCAGACACCGTGTATGCTGCTGTCACGCATCCCTGTTATAAAGGACTCTTACTTCTCCTGGAACTATAAGCCCAGACCAATTCTGCCTTCTGTAAGGTCATGGCATTTTATCATAGGAAAATGGCTAATACACAGGTTCCATCTTTGTTTCTGGATTCTGTTTTTCAGAGATTAGTTCTCTCATTCAGCACGGGGACATAGACAGGAACATAGAAAACAGGTAAGTGTGCCATCCATGTCCTCAAGGGAACTGGCAGTGTGACTTGATGGGTCCTGCAGCATTAGCCTGGGGCCCTCCAGCATATAACTAAGCATAAATCTGAGGCCCGGGATCATAATCTCAACTTTAGCACAACATATAAAGCAGAGGCAAGTAAGGGCTAAAACAATCATGTCATTTGCTCAATGTCATATATTTATAAGCAAGTGTTATTTCCTCCTATGACTTTATCAACTTTTCCTAATTAGCCAGAACTTGACTAGAACAGCCGGTCTTCCAGCACCTCCCCTTCAGTGATCTCCCTACTCCTCAGAGGCAATACAGTCATACAGATATTAAGTCTGATTTTTGGTCTTAAGTTGTTCTCTTTTCCCAGTCCATACCTGGAGGCTTCAGTTTCCTCACTTGAGCAGGAGAGGGCACTCTATTATCTGTCCTTCTGTCCTTTAACCCTCATCTAGATGGCCTGTCACATTCCGATTCTATGAGATATTTTCTTTTTCTATGTATACTTCCACTGTCAGAGCTGATACGTTACACTCTTGCACACCTATCTCCACCTAGTTTATGGCTTTTTATGTGTCTTAAATCCTTCTTCCTTGATAGGCATTCAAGATTCGGCTGCACTACAAAGGTTGGCAAATATCCAAATGTGCACTCTCCCAATTTCTGTAAGATGGGCCTCTTACTGTAGAATCTAAAGGCACATTCAAGAATAAATACAATATTCAGAAGAAATGATGCTTGGTATATTATTCTAAGACTTATTCCTTTGAAGAATAAATACAATATCCAGAAGAAATAATACTCATATATTATTCCCCTAAAATTCCTTCCCTTTGAGTCTGACGTCTCTCAGAGTTCCACACTCAAAAGAACAGAAATAAGAACAGGCAATACAGCCAATCCAAGATGTCAAAATCTGGCACATCTCTTGTTCTTTCCAATTCATGTGGTTCAACTGCAGCCACACCAAAATCCAGCTTCTCCTCCACCTTCTCTCTCTGAGAGGCTCAGAAACTTAAGTAGAGAAAGGCAGCTTCCGTGAACTAGCCCAACAGAGCCCATGCTCCTTTTCACCTAATTCTTGGGAAAGGCAGGACTGTAGAAAAGAGGAAGCTCAAATGGCCCTGCTTTCGCCATAAGAAACCGGGAGATCAGTGCAGCTCAGTTATATGAAAATGGGAGCCAGGCAGTGGTGGCGCACGCCTTTAATCCCAGCACTTGGAAGGCAGAGGCAGGCGGATTTCTGAGTCCGAGGCCAGCCTGGTCTACAGAGTGAGTTACAGGACAGCCAGGGCTACACAGAGAAACCCTGTCTCGAAAAACCAAAAAAAAGAAAAAAGAAAGAAAGAAAATGGGAACTATCACTACAGGAGGACATGATCTTACCTGCTTCAGTCCCTCTCTAGAAGGTTCAGATGTTTTCACAATATCATCAATGGCCCACCACTGACCAACAAGGTAAAGTGCCACAGCTAAAAATAGAAAAATGGCTATTAACATTTGAGTCTAAAGGGTTAAAAGAGGCAATATTGCTTCTTGATTAGGATTATATATACACAATAAAATACAGCCATTCTTGCTTGACCTCCTCTTCAGTCATGTTAAGAGTCCAATCCAATCCTTGTCACATCCAGGTCAATCTCCACCCTCAGATATACCTGCTCCTCCCCAGACTCTAGGCCCACACACATCCCACCTGTTTTGAAACTCACTTCATTCATTAAAGATTTAATTATATGGAATTGAGAATTACATTTCTAAAACTAAAATTTGAAAGAAGTTTTTACACAAATTCTTTTGTGTAAGTTTCTCAATAAATTCTTGACAGTTTGAATTCAAGTCCTTTAATTTACAAAAACAAAGCAAAGACCTGTAAGTGAATCCTCAGGTGCAAAGAGAGCAAGAATTTTCTGGGTCTGATTGCCACCATAAAGAGGTACAAACCCCACGTTTGACAGGCTAACGGGAATCTGAAACATAAGATGATTCGAGATTAGTGGAGAGTTTAATAAAAATACATGACAAAAAATACCAAAGAATTTACCAGAATTTAAGCTAATCTCCCCTTTATTTCAATATACAGCTTCATTCCATAGGAGGTAATATGCCTAGTCTCCCCTAAAAAGAATAAAATCAAAAAACAACAATGAAAGCAGCCTTCTCTTCTGCAAGAATTTTATTTCCTTGTGGAAAAAATGAAAATTTGCTTCTATTATATTCCTAGACAGTAGTCGTGTTACTGAGTAAAAACAAGTGTCACCGCCAAGCCTACTATAGTTTATTATCATTAGATTTCACACAAGGGATGTATTTTATTTTCTAGTAAAAGAAACCAGTAGGATGAACGGATGCTTCTTCGGGAGACACACAATCCTTTCACCCTGTCCTGCATTCACTTACTCAGAGCCAATTTAGAGAATTAGGAAACACTGGTGCTGGAAAGGTTGTTAAAGACTCCTTACATCAGGCGGGAAAACAGTGCAGGGGCAAAGGAGCTTGCTACCAAATCTGATAATCTGAATTTAATCTTCAAGTTCCACAGAGTAGGAGGAGGGAACTAACTAAAAGCTGTCCTCTGATTTCCAAACATCCCCTCCCCCTGCCAACACACACACACACACACACACTAAAGATAATAAAAATTTTCCATTCTTTATCATCCTAGAAGCTGTGAGGCCTTAGAGATATTAAGACGTCTTGACATTTCAGTTCACTGTGGAATTTAAATAATCTCAAGTCTCAAAGTAATACAGCTTAATGATTAAAATTTTTATTTTTAAATTGAAAATTTTCAAAGAACGGAAGAAAAGATTATTGCCACAAAAATGTAATTTGTGGAGTCTTCCTGATTTTTTTTAGTTAAAATTAACTTCTAAATTCAAAAAATATAGACTTAAAGTAATGTGACACCTCTTCAACATGTACCTTGTAAGCTTCGGGTCTGGTCAAAGACCCTGTCTCAAGAGAATAAGATATAAAGCAATAGAAGACATCTCATGTTCTCCTCTGGCCTCTGTATGCACATGCAACAATGCACACATTCAATGCATGTGTATACAGACACACACACACACACACTAAAACCCTGATTTACCATTCGATTTGTTAATATTGCTTAGTTGATATTAACATTGTACATGTAAATTTCTGGTAATTATTTAAAAAAAAATTTTTTTTAAGATACTGATTTCACACGTAACTGGACAGGTTGGTAAAAATCAGTACAGAATGCCTTACCGTAAAATCAAGAATAGAAAAACATTCTGGATTTTCAGGGTCCCCACACCTTAAGTTGGAGAGGTAATCCTCAGCAGAATTTTCCAATTCCTCATGTGTGGAGTTATCCAGCAAATCCACAGGGAATGCCATTCTCTAACAAACATGGAACAACACACTTAGAAGCCTTTTCTTACTTAAAAACAAAAACAAAAAACAACCAAACAACAACAAAAAGAAACCTACTGTATTTTACTAGTATGAGAGAGATTTCTATTTCACTTTGTAGATAGATAGCTTTAGTCTGCTGATTTAGGCTCTTATGTCAAAAACATTCTAATATCATTCATTTATATACAAAACAGACAATAAAGCCAGATATGGTGGCTCACACCTATAATCCAAGCACTTGAGACTGAGGCAGGAGAACTGGTTAGACTTTAAGAATATCCTGAACTACACAGAGTTCCAGTCCAGCCAAGCCTGTAACATAAGATACCTTGTCTTAAACAACAAAAAATAGGCAATCAAGCACTCATGGGTACTTCATAAATGTTTACACAGTTGTAAGAAAGACACATATGCTCACACACATCAAATTGTATGTATAAATATACTCTTTACATAGCCCTCAACACTATAAAACATGGGGTGGGGCTAGAGAGATGGCTCAGCAGTTAAGAATACTTCTTGCTCTTGTTAAAGAAAATATCCTCAGGACCCCCAAGACCAAGTTCCCAGCACAAAGGAGATTTATTTGCCCCAGAGGTTCAGAGGACAGGGAATATGAGACGTAGAAAAGATAGAGAGAGAAGGAGGAGGGGTATTTGTCCTGGAGAGGACAAAGGACTTCCTCTGGATAGAAGACAGACACAGCACATAGGAAAATGGTGGCTTATAGAAGTCCAAGGGGCAACCCCATGTTAAGATGAGGTATTTAATTTTAAGTGGGCATGTTACTTATATGACCCAAAGCTTTTGATTGCTGGCCTACAATACCTTGGTAATCAGACTCAGGAAGAGGAAGTGACCAAATAAAAGAATAAACCTTGGGGCTATCTTAGGAATGTAGTCTAAGGATTTTTAGCAAGGAGGAGGGGATGGGGAAGAAGGGCAAACTCTTCCACGCTTGTCATGCTCAAACTGGCCAGAGCCCTTTAGTTCTTATAGAGGACTTAGGGTCAGTTTACCAGCATCCACCTGGTAGCTCACAACCGTCTGTCACTCTGGTCCCAGGAGAGCCAAAGCCGCCTTCTGACCTCCACTGACAACAGATACACATGCAGTACACGTGCAGAAAAAACATATACACACATGAAATAAATAAATCTAATTTTTTTTAAGTTCTATTTTTTGTTGTTGTTTTGTGTTTTTGTTTTTTGAGACAGGGTTTCTCTGTGTAGCCCTGGCTGTCCTGAAACTCACTCTGTAGACCAGGCTGGCCTCAAACTCAGAAATCTGCCTGCCTCTGCCTCCCAACTGCTGGGATTAAAGATGTGTGCCACAACTGCCTGGCTAAATTTTTTTTTTTTTAAGTTTTAAAAATACATGGGGCCGGGCGGTGGTGGCACACGCCTTTAATCCCAGCACTTGGGAGGCAGAGGCAGGCAGATTTCTGAGTTCGAGGACAGCCTGGTCTACAGAGTGAGTTCCAAGACAGCCCAGGCTATACAGAGAAGCCCTGTCTCGAAAAAAAAAAAACAAAAAACAAAACACAAGCAAACAAAAAAAGTTAACTATAAAAAAAGTCAAGCCCAAGAAATAAAAACACAAATTTGGTCCAGCTAATAAACAACCTACAAACCTGTTTAAAAAAAAAAAAAAAACCTCTGCATGCACACACACAAAACAAAAGTCACTATATTATGTACATTTACAATGGATGCATGTTGTGGTACGGAAGAATACCTTATATACAAATGTCTGTACAGAGAAATGGAAAACATACAAAATCCAGCCTGTTGTTTATTTAGTATCTTAAAGGTGTTTTACTTTAGGGACAGGCATGATGGTGCATGCCTTTAAATCTCAGCACTTAGGAAGCAGAAGTAGGCAGATTTCCATGAGTTCTAGACAAGCCTGGTCCACATAAGCACGCGCACGCACACACACACACACACACACACACACACACACACACAAATAGACCATAAATACAATAATAACTTGCTTTGAAAGTAAAATTAGGGCTATACAGAGAAACCCTGTCTCAAAAAACAAAAAACAAAAAACAAAAAAAAAAAGAAAGTAAAATTAGAAAAGACAATCTTTCTTACAATAGTGAAAATAGATTAAATTTATCAACAACATGGTAAGGGGTCTCCCTAAAATGGTTTAGCATAATCCAAACCTAATGAAAATACTTCTGTCTGTTTTTTTTTTTTTGGAGCTACTTATGTTGATTAAAGTTAATATGAAAGTGCAAACAAGCAAAATAGTTAGGAAACCCTTAAAAGTCATAAATAAAACCATTTCTGTAATTACAACATGAAAAGTCACATAAATGAACAGAACAAGACACATAAATCCATCTAAAACCCTTGAAAGCCAAGTAAATGATAAGCAACCTCCATCAGTGGGCAAAGAAATTGTTCAAATGATTCTTTCGTAGTCTTTTGATTAAACAGAACATTAATTTTGCTCACTTTTTAACTTACAACTGAAATCTTCACTAATTCACCACTCCTTCTGTGAAAAATACAAACATTACTATATGTGCCAGTGAATGTTTTGGGTCTTGGTTTTGGTACATGGTAGTACACCATATACAATTTATTTACCCCCTCTACTGCTGACAGACAACTGGGCTTTTTCCAGTATTTAGCAACACTGAATAAACCCACAGTGAGAAGGCCTATAGACTCTTCTGTTAGACATATGCCCTCCTTTGTTAGGTCTATACAGGCATGTGACAATCTCACTAAAACCAAGACAAGCAGGTCTTACATCCTGATGTGATGCAACAAGAATCTATCCATTAACAAAATATATGGGGAAAAACCCACCAAAATACAGCATTAGCCAATTCAAAATGTGAGTTTCCTCAATAAATATGTATGTTGTTTGGAGTTTACAAGGGAAAAGGTAGGAAATAACATAAATTCAAAAACTTAAGTGACATACCAATACTGTGTATTCTGAAGAACATCCTGATCAGTGTGCTCTTGAAATTTTTCATGATAAAAAGCTCAGTAGGAAATAAAATTGTGGGGCTAAAGCAATGCTCTGTGTTTTGAAACACTGGCCGATCTTCCAGAAGATGCAGACTGAACTCAAAGCACTCACAGGGTGGCTCAGAGCCCATCTGTAACTGCCAGGTCTAGGGGATCTGACACCCTCTTCTGACCTTTACAGACAAAGCACTCATACACATAAATTTTTAAAGAATATAATAAAATGATCTATAACAACTACTACTACTGAGATACCAGTCCTTAAAGACGTAAGCACCAAGCTAGGGTCTACTGCCCTAGTTATAAGCTTTTCTAGTTCTTAATGTACTTAGTGTAAACATCCATGCCATGGCTTGTGAGAAGAGGTGAGGACAGCCTGCAGGCAGTCAGTTGTTCCTTTCGCTGTGTGGTACTGGGACTAATCTCAGGGACTCGGCATGGTATCAGGCTCCTTGACCCACTGAGCAACCTGGGTCCCACCGGATCTCATTTTTATTTACCCCAAATCAAAACTAGAACGCCTAATTGTAACATTTATCAATGACCTCTTCGACCCTGACTTATGGGTTGTCTGGTTTGCTTTGTTGGGGGTTGTGGGGTGTAGCATGTGTGCCTGGGGTGTCTGAAGGTCAGGGAACAACTTGTATGACTGTTTTCTCCTTCACCAAGTAGGCCTCACTCTTCATGTGGTCAGGATTCACAGCAACTGCTTCTTACCTGCTGGAACATTCTGCCAGCCGTTCAAATTCAATTTAAAAGAAAACCATAAAAGGATTAGAAAAAAAAATAAACTAGAACTTTCTATTCCTATCACCACCAAACACAAAGGGTGAAGGGAGGCAAGGAGTGGAGAAGAGACTGCCAGCACTGAAGGAGAGCAGCTGTGGGTGCTCCTCCTGCAGTGACTGTCACTTCACCCAGCTTTATACGCATACATAGCTAGGAGAGACATGCATAACAGTGATACACAGCTCAATATTCTGAATTTTGAAGATATGATAAAGAAGCATAATATTTTACCACTATCTGAAATTTGGTCTTAAAGACTTTACCACTATATATACATTAAACTGAAAATCTAAGGTGATATGTTTCGATTTTTAATAAAACTGATTTTAAAAATCAAAATCTATAAACCGAACACTTAAATTAAATCCAGAGTTAATAAATATAAATGTTTAAAATTCCCATTTTAGAGAAAGCGAGAAAAGTTTGTCAAACTATTTGAAAGTAATATTGTGGGATTCCTAGACAATTTTGAAGAGAAAATAAATCCTATGATTTTCAGAGCTATCAACCAGAATCTTGGGTAGAAGGAATCATATATACATAATAAAATATTAGCTCTACAGTAACACAACTTAATTGTCAACTTAGGCAATCTTTCTGTGTGTCATAAACTTAAAATGTAAAAAAATAAACTAGGGAAATACCTTACGCTGCACAGAAAACCAAGTGAGAGGCCCGGGGGTGACAGCGCAGCAGTGACAGGGAGGATGGGGAGGACAGAGAGGACAAGGAGACCACCACGTGCTGTATTTCATGGGTTGTGCACTGTGTCTCTCCTTTGGTCAGAGGCAGATGATGGAAGTGGACTAACCTATGGAAATTCATTCTCCTTCACTTTTAAACATTCTCAGGGTAAAACATTTAAGAAGAAACCTAACTTCAGGGAATGATTTTATTGTCAAATGTTATTCCTTTACCTGTATACAAAATTTTATTAACATAGAAAACAATCCTGTTTCTCAAGTTTGGCAATTTAGATGTTTTCAAACCCACAAGCACAGAAGCACCAGGAAAAAAATACTAGTAATAACTTACAAACAGTTTTACAACAACACAATCCATCACAAGTTTTAATATGAAAAAAATTAAAATACTTCTCTATCTCCAAAGACCTAATAACAATTAAACCTATCATTGGTTTCAGTGTGAAACACGAATTCTTTAACTCTACGCCTCAGCACGCAGATACAC